TTAATTAAATATTCTCAAATAAGCAGCAAATGTATGAAATATTATAAAAAATGTATTACTCGGATGAGGACCGCGGCACGACGACTGTAGTTTTGCGAAGATTCTCGTGGTTCAAGGCGAGGGGCAACTGTTGTCAAAACACAACCGCTTCAATCATGGACAAGTTCCTCGTGAATATTAAAGAGCTGAACTTTCTGTGTAGCTGCACATGTAGTGGGGGAATGTAAACACACACAAATTGCGCAAACTCACTCATGCGCAGCCCTGCACCGAACCGAACATCCTGTACTGAAACGGTTCAGCACAAATACATGAACCGTTACATCCGTACTAAAAGGTAAATTCACAAATGCAGACCTTGATCATTTCCAAGGTTCCAATCTGTATGTAAGATGAAAATGTTCAGATTTATAACATTTCAAACATTACGGGACTTTCTGAACAAACTACGACCAGGAAATAGTCTTATTACATCAATTAATTTGTCCAAACTGGATATTTATCAACTGAACTGATATTTGGAAGCTGAAAATGCAGAAAATCTCCAATATTTGCGAAAATGTTCAGTATTCTTCTTCTTTTTATTGACTTTTCATCTGCGTTCAACACAATCCAACCACATATTCTTTGTAAAAGGCTTTTAGAACATTTTAGTCTTGGTTTTAATACTGTGGGCTGGATTCTTGATTTTTTTTAACACAGAGAACACAAAGAGTAAGAGTGAATGTTGTACATTATGACCAGATGGTGTCATCAACCGGGTCACCGCAGGGATGTGTTCTCTCATCCCTGCTGTTCATACTGTTCACCAATAAGTGTCAGAGCAGTTATGAGAATAGAACAATAATAAAATATGTGGATGATTCTGTCATTGTGAGCTTGCTCCACAAAAATGAAAACCAACATGGGCCAATTGTTGAGGACTTTGTAAAATGGTGTGAAGAGTCAAATCTGCACCTAAATGTGTCCAAGACGAAGGATATGATTATTGACTTTTGAAAGCGAGCGCCTCCGTGTGACGTCACAGAGATAAAGGGGCAGACAGTCGAGTGTGGGACTCATATAAATATCTTGGAACACTCACTGATTCAAAATTGAGTTTTGATGATAATTGTTCTGGTGTGTGTAAAAGAGGCTCCAGCGCCTTCATTGTCTGAGAAAGTTTTCCTTTTACCGTGTAGAGCAGGGGTGTCATCAAGGGCCACATATCTAAACACAGAAGAAGCAGAGGGATGATCGAGGGCTGTAGACTGATGCTCAGTACAGTGAATAATTGAAATATGTGCAGGTTTATCACGTTAGAATGAGCCATCAGTCTTTATTCATGCTAAGATCCTTAAAACCACACACTAAATAAGAAACATGAGCTTTATCAAGGTAGATTTTCAAAAAACTTGCAGTAAAAAAATATTTTTTAAATGATGCAAAGTAATTTGGGCCAATTCACCTGGAAGCCTGAGGGCCAAGAAAAATTTGTCTGAGAGCCGCATTTGGCCCTCGGCCCATAGTTTGGACATCCCTGGTGTAGACAGAACCATGATGACACTGTTTTATAAAACATTTCTGGAATCAGTTTTAACGTTTTCATTGGTCTTGTGGTTTGGGAGCGTTTCTGCTAAAAACAAGAACTCCCTGGATCAGTTGGTTAAATGAACGTGTTTGGTGATTGTTCCTCAGAGCCTCTGGACTCTCTGGACTCGAGACACTTACAGACGACGTCCCAGAGGATTTTACAAGACGAGCAACATCCACTAAACTCAGAGTTTCAGCTGCTTCCCTCTGGTTCCTCTAGAACAAATTGTTTAAAAGGAGCTTCGTTCCGGCCGCTGTCGTACTTATGAATAAATTGTAATCTATTTATCTAAGATTGTGTGTTTTTAACATATTTAATATTTATTGTGATTTTAGCCAAGCGTGATGGATGAATTTAACTAATTGTTTATAGAACAAACCATTCTGCGCAGGAGCACTGTGACACTTTATTTTGTAATTGTGTTTTTATACGTGTTTTGTGGATGAATGAAATGTGAAATGTGGAACCTGATTCTCAAATCTGCAAAGCAAATTTACCTACGGGTACGAATAAAGCAAGCTAAGCAAAATTTTCAGTACTGACGCAAACATCTCTAATATTTGCATAAATACTGAAAATATTCAGCTTACAAATGTCAGTTCAGTTGATAAATATCCTGTTTGGACAAATGAATTGATGTAATGAGACTATTTCCTCGTCATAGTTTGTTGAGAAAGTCCCGTAATGTTTGAAGTGTTATCTACACAAAGTTGTTCTGTGGTTACTGAGATAAATAACAGTTACGTAACACATTTGGATCAGTTTTGTCTTATTTTGTTTAAAGGAAATAAATGATGAGATGTTATTGGAATCTGTGAAACATTCCGACGACATTAAACCTTTATCTACTTTATTAAAACCAAACACCAAATGACTTTTATGTGTAATTTTATAAAGTTCAACAAAACTTCTACTCGTTCCGTTTCACAGCAGACAGAGTGAAACTGTCACCTCCAGAGTCTGAGGGACAAACCGTCGACGAGAGCGAAGAGAATGTGAAAAACCACAAGTTCACAGCAACTCCACAAACACGTCCACGTTTCAAACTCACAGGAAAAGAGTTTAGACTAATAAACTGCTGATTTCAATTCTGCATTTACACAACAGAAACAGAACACTTTAAACACAAAACAGGAGCAGTTCCTTTAATATTCTCGTGTAGTTTTACTTTAGACCAAAACCATTCAAAACTATTCACGTTTACCTGTCTGCTCACACGAAGATTCATTTTACTGAAGTGAAAGCAGACAGACTCTCGCATGTGAACTGGTTCAGAGAGGTTATGATTAGGGACGGGAATTCGATAAAATTTTCTTAATCGATCGTTAATTCTCCTGACGATCGATTAAGAAAATTTTATCGAATAATCATTAACGTTTTTATATTAAAATTATCATCCTTATTATTACTGTCTGCACTACTAATCTGCATAAATAAATTCAACTTTACGACATATAAACCGTAACGACTCTAGAGCCACATCAGCCCGTTTGACATTATAATGTGTTTAATTCAGTTTTGCGCAAATCTCACAGAAATGAAACTTAAAATCGCATGGATCATTTGCATAAACTAAGCGAAGAAAAAAAAAACTGTTCTTGTGTTGCTGATGTGACATGACTCAGGTGAATACAGGTCAGTGTGACCAGATTTGTGTTTGTCAAAACCAGGACAGCGTACGGGGGGAGGGGGCGGGGCCTCGTCATCCACATTGAGCGACTCTCACCTGGGAAAAACTTTTTCCCCACTGGACACAGAAACATATGTGCTGCTTTATACACTGTGCACATGGACTCACACTTGTCCCGAACGCAACAGAAAGTGTGGAATTTCTTGTACAAATCCATGGTTAAATCCACATTTGTGCTTCGGTTCGTTACAGACTGACCCACTGTTTGTGTCTCGCTCCTTCTGATGCAGAGACACATGTGCAATCAAAACTGCACATAGGCTTAGGGAATGTGCAATAATTAATAGAACAGAAGAATGTAAAGGGTTTGCCTGTTAAGAATAGTTTAAAGGTCCTGTTGGTGCGTCACTCGTGGTCAGACTTGGTCTCATATTTACTTTGTTTTATGGTGTTTGTTTATGTGCTGCTTTGTGTTGTGTCGTCCTGTTTTTTGATAAAACATGTTACCCTCTGTCCCAAGACCAAATTTCTCCCATGGGAGACAATAAAGGATTATCTTATCTTATATCTGGACCCTCGTTTGATCACTCTATGCACAACAACCTACATTCGGTTTGTTGATTAAAATGAACGTAATCGATGAAATTCTTAATGATCAATTATCGATTAATCGACTAATCATGCCCATCCCTAGTTATGATGCATTTGGATCTAGAGAAAATTAGATACTCCCCAACACTGCCTGCAAAGAGTAACAGATTACATGTACCGGAGTTATGTAATCAGAGTACAAATTATGAGTAACTGTATTCAGTTACAGTTACTGTTTCAGTGAGTGGTAATTGGATTACAGTTACTTTGTTCAAATAAATGGATTACACGGCAGTATTTTCCGGTTTTCACATTTTGGGCTAAACCAGGACTAAAAGCAGGACTAAACCAGGACTAAACCAGGAATAAATCAGGAATAAACCAGGACTAAACACTAACAGTAGAGTGAACATAATTGAAGGCAGCAGTGATCTCATATAAAAATCATTTCTCTATCAATAATATTTTTTATATGCTTAAGTAAAGACTGGGTTTTGTATTTTCTTTTAGCAGACAATTATGTTATGATTTCCTGGTCTTTGCTTCTCTACAGTAAAACAGTTGCTTATTCATGGAGACTTGGGCTCAACAGACAATTTGAAGAGAACAAGAATTTTCAGGATGTGGTCGTTACATTCATGTAGTTTTAAAAAGCATAACAATATCAAGTAATCCAAAGTATTCAGATTACGTTACTCACCTTAAGTAATTTAATGGATTCTGCTACAAACTACATTTTGGGGTGTGTAATCTGTAATCTGTAGGGGAATACATTTTAAAAGTCACCTTCCCAACACTGTTTGCAGGATTAGGAAGATAAATGTATCTCTGCTCTCTGGGACGGCTGGATCGGTCGTGATGACTCAGTTGTTCAGTTGTGACTCAGATTGGCACATTGGATTAACTTTTTCGGTTCGTTCGTCCGTTCCGTTCCTCGTCGGCGTGGAGTGATGAGTGTGTCTGTGGGTGTGTTTCTCTGTGCGGTCGCTGTCTGCTCCGTGTGTGTTTGTCTGTTCTGTCAGTGGTGCGGCTTTGTAGTTTACTGAAGTCGTGCTCCGACACCCGAGTGGATTCGTGTATGGGGCGCTCTGGACTGTGGCGCGCGGTCGTTTTTTGGTTGGCGGTTAGAGGCTTAAGAGCGCGACTAATCGCCCGGGAAATACGGCAATAGTGTAAATTAACAGTGTATTCTTGTCTCTTTTGCAGTGGTCAGTTTGCCTTGGTGAAGCGCTGTCGGGAGAAGAGCACGGGGCTGGAGTTCGCCGCCAAAGTCATAAAGAAATGTCTGAGCCGAGTGAGCCGCAGAGGAGTGAAGAAGGAGGAGATCGAGAGAGAAGTGTCCATCCTCCAGGAGCTCCAGCATCCAAACATCATCTCCGTGCACGAGGTCTACGAGAGCCGGACCGAGGTCGTGCTCATACTCGAACTGTGAGCAACTGACTTTATAACATCAACAATTAACTTAAAAGGCTCATGCTTTAGACCAGGGGTGTCAAACTCATTTTGTTCCGGGGGCCGTATCCAACCGACTTTGATCCCAAAGGGGCTGGATCAGAAAACTCATGTCATATAAACCCCAAAAATAACAATAAGTTTAAATATTTGTGCAGAGAAACACAAATCTATTACAGGAATCTTTTGTAATTGATGAACTGTTTCTTTTACAAAATATTATAATATTATGAACAACCTGAAACTTCAAGAAACATGCAATTTCAACACAAAGTTTTAACATGAACTTGTCTGTAAACAGGAATAAGTCCATGTTTCTTGTAAAATCCTGCACTCGACTCCACTTTTCTCATGTTGGACATTTTTCTGATGAGGGTGTCACGGTCAACAGTCAAAACGATCGTCCTTTAAGAGCGTTTGGAAAGAGACAAGTCTTCATTTGTGCTGCTCTGGTGGGAGGGGCCACGTACAGAGACGCTGGAGACGCTGCTGTGATAAACACCACAGAAAATTAACAAGATTTTAATAGAAAATATAATTAAAATATTTTAGTAGAAAATCAGCTGAGGGCCAGATTAAAGGTCTTGGAGGGCTGGATCTGGCCCCCGGGCCGCATGTTTGACACCTGTGTTTTAGACTATTTTCTGCTCTCCTTTATGTTCATTTACTTACTCGTCACAAACAGACCTGGAGATGTGTTTTTTTGTTTCATTCACGCATTTTCAACACACAAACCCGCGTGTTTAGTTCTTATCACAAATAGAAAACACTGTTCCACTTTGTGATGTCATGTGGTGATACAGGAAGTGCTCCATTGTGTTTTTAAACTCCACACACCTTCACTAGAATCATCTAAATTGCCTGCACTGAAAAAAAACCAAAAAAAAAAAAAAACAGCTAAATTAAAATGACTTAAATTAAGAACATTTTACTTTATTTGAGTTGATTCAACTTGACGAGAAAATGATCTACCAATGGAATAAGTATTTTTTTTCTTAATTTAAGCAACATTCGATTTCTTTTCTTATTTTAAGTGCAAAAAGTTGTTGTTTTTCTGATTTTAAGTGCAGCCAGATGTATTTTCATATTTTAAGTACAAAAAGTCTTGTTCCACTGGCAGATCATTTTACTTCCATCCATCCATGTTCTTCTTCTTATCTGGGGTTGGGTCTTGGGGCATTAGTCAAAGCAGGGACTCCCAGACTTCCTTCACCCCAGACACTTCCTCCAGCTCCTCCAGGGGGACCCCGACACGTTCCCAGGCCAACCCAGAGACATAGTCCCTCCAGTGTGTCCTGGGTCTTCCCCGGGGCCTCCTCCTGGTGGGACATGAACACCTCCCCTCAACTGCTCCTCTCGACGTGGAGGAGCAGCGTCTCTACTCCGAGCTCCTCACCCTATCTCTAAGGGAGCACCCAGACACCCTGCGGAGGAAAGTCATTTATGCCACTTGTATCCGCGATCTCGTCCTTTCAGTCATTACCCAGAGCTCATGACCAGAGGTGAGGGGAGGAACGTAGACTGACGGTAAAACGAGAGTTTCGTCTTTGGGCTCAGCTCCTCTTCACCACAACGGACGCTGCACCGATCCACCTGTCAATCTCACGCTCCATCCTCCCTCCCCTCCCTCGAGAACAAGACCCCGAGAAACTTGAACTCCTCCACTTGAGCCAGAGACTCTCCACCCACCTGGAGAGATCACGATAAAACTGTCTTAATTCAAGTCGTCTTAACTGGGCTAGATTTTGTTTTTTGCAGTGTGAATTGCCAATATTTACTGAACGAAAGGTACATGTTGCTGTGAACTTGAAAACTACCACGTCATGACATCACAAAGTCGAACAGAGCGTTTTGAGCTTCGGAGATGTAGGCAGACTCATAATAAAGAGTTACTCAAACATGCCTGGATGAAACAAAACACAACTCTGGGTGTGTTTTTAAGGAGGTAACAGCATTAGAACATGACTAAAAGCTCACAAGAGTCAGATGTGTGTAATATTAAATATAATGGACTTCCTAAACTTCATCATTTTATGTGACCGTCCCTCCCAAACATAAACTTTAATCACATCGATGACATCAGCTGCAGACTATCACAGGCCTGGTTATGCAACATTTGGGGAACTTTCTCCAACTCAAAACAGATAATATTTTGTTCTGAATTGTTATGGAAACAACAGTATTCATTTGTTAATCCTTGGAGAGGTAACAGGGCTGGAGAAAACCCCTTCGAATTCTGAACTCTGGTCCAAAAAACACACTTTTACTGACAGAGAAGCAGCTGCAGATCCAGAGCTGATCTTTGATACTGGACGCTGTGACTCACTCAGACAATAACTGTTTTTATTGGAAAAAGGAAAAACAGGTTCCTAATATTTCATCATTTGAACTACTGAGGTAATTTAATATAGTTTCTCACTGTTATAACACAAATCTTGGACAGGTACAGACAGATACAGACGGGGAGGACGTTCATTCTTTGGGACAATGTGTCTGCGTATGGACGGTATCACATTGGGAACTCTAGTTTAGGGTGACCAAACATCCATTTTTTCCTGGACATGTCCTGTTTGCATCCTGTCCTTTCCTGTTTTTTTTTTTTTTTAAGTGAGGCAAATGTCCGGGTTTTCAGTACCGTTCATTGGGGGCATTAAACTGAGCGTCTCTCATAGCGTCTGTGACTCAGAAGAAGCAAGACACAAACGGTCGGTCAGTCTGCAACATGCCGAAACGCAAATGTGCATTTAACGATGACTTGGAACAAGAAATTCTCCGTGTTTTCCATCCCGGTCGGGACAAGTGTGAGTCCATGTGCACACGGTTTCGCAAACGTGACGAGTTCAGTGTCCCTCGTTTATCACGGGGTACTAGTGATTTTTTCATGTGCATTTTATGAAGAAAATGACCATTACGCTCTGGAACAACGTTAAATTTAAGACAATACAGCGGTTATCACAAATTTTAAACTATACATAATGGAGAAAATACTTACATTTGTGAACTTCTTGTATATCTTGCCGGTGATTCGCAAGAAATTCTCAGAAAAATCGTCATTTGGAGGGGTATATAGCGCTATCACTTTACCCCCTATCATGTGCATGTGGCATTGGTTGTTATGTGACTGGTGAGTGGCAAAGGAGCGCTGTTGGCTTGATTGACCTATATCTTTGACATTTTTAGTCCTCACAACATGAAATTTGGCAGTGCACACATCAGTACCTTTAGGAAGACTCCCTCCGAATTTGAGATCAGTCGGATGAATGATTCGAGAGTTATGCGTGGAAAAGGCAAACAAAGACGACAAGACACAGATGCCTTAATAGATAGAAGTCTCCAGGAAATTAATGTAAGTCAGTGTAATGTCCTGACAAAGCACGGTCAGCTAACGTGTGTTTTGTGTATGTTTGTTTGTGCGTTTGTATATTTCGTAGTGTTTCTGGGGGAGAGCTGTTTGACTTCTTGGCGCAGAAAGAGTCTCTGAGCGAAGAGGAGGCCACGCAGTTCATCAAACAGATCCTGGAGGGCGTCCGCTACCTGCACTCCAAGAACATCGCTCACTTCGACTTAAAGGTACGACTGCGAAATACGACACGTCCCAAAGCTTCTACGACAAAGACAGGGGTGGGCAAGTGTTTTTTCCATGGGGCCACATGAGAAACAGAAAATATTGTGGAGGCCAAAATGCTGAACTCAATTCTGCATAATTCTTACTGTATTTCTTTATAAAATGCAGTAAATATCATTGTTTTGAGGAGCTGCTCAGACTGGTGACAGTTTATGTTATGACTAAGCAATGAAAAAATGAGACTACCTTACAAAATATGTCATTTAAAAAAACCTCTCGAAAATAAAGGAACGCAGCTTTAGTCCAAGCATCAGGTACAATTATAAAATATATTTATTTTGTAATTCCAAATGAGCTTAAATGGGCGATAGAAGCACAGAACAGACTCACCATCAGCAGAACACCCCTCTGTCACAGAAAGAACACTCATATTCCACTGAGTCGTGTCCTTTAGTCTGATGGATGCTGAACCTCATCAGCGCACAAGGAGCGAGCTGTTTTTTTCAGCGCTTTTAGTTTACGCCAGTGAGCCATGTGGTTTTAAGTTTAATTTCTGTAAAATGTAAATAATTGTGCACAAAGCACAAAAAAAAAAACTTAAATGAACCAACCGCATTCATATTCATAATCCACATTCACCAAGACAGAGAGGCAACGCCGGGCGAATTACACCACGATTTGCCGATGGATCATGGACGACTGGACTAAGGATCAGTATCAAGTGTCGTCCGACTTTAGACTTATGACTAAGCAATGAAAAAATGAGACTACCTTACAAAATATGTCATTTAAAAAAACTTTTCTAAAATAAAGGAACGCAGCTTTAGTCCAAGCATCAGGTACAATTATAAAATATATTTATTTTGTGATTCCAAATGAGCTTAAATGGGCCCTCAGAGTCAACCAAAGGGCCGTACAATCGACTTTTTTCACAATGGTCGGTAGTGTCTCGCTGTAGTTTTGCGGATCTTCTGGTTAATGGTTTTCTGTGGCAAAATGTGTGTGTAAATGTCTGGCGTATTCTAAACCAGCTTCGTAAATCTGCCCCATCACCAAATCTTCAACCAACAAGGTCCAAAGCTTAAAGGAGAACAACGACGTCGCATTAGTGAACTTCTGAGCAAAACTAATATTATTGTGTCCTGGAGATGTCTCGCATTCCACCTGCATAAATCTATTTATGTTAATATCAACATCATGAAATCCATTCTTAATTTTAATTGTAGAATCAGTCTGAGTGAACAAGTTCCTTCTGTTTTATTCATGATCATAACACTAGTTTGTTCAGTAGTTCTCTAATACGTCGTCGTTATTCTCCTTTAAGCTTTTGTCTTTCTTACCTTGATATTTTGTGGTAATGTTTGATAATTATTCAACTGTGTGAGGTTTCATTGTATTTTAATCCATGTTTGAATCAAATGAATTTAATCTAAGGTGCATAAATGTTGTTGTTTTTTTTAGTAAAGCACAGCTATAATGTTCAATTTTAATGTTTTCATAAGGTGGAGGCTTTAATATAAGTCCTTTTGGGGGTTTTGCCTCTTCCGGCACCTGCTTTTTATTTTTACTTTTTTATGCATGATAAATGAATAAATAAACTGTTGGCTAATGTAGGATGACCAGGCGTCCCTGTTTACCCGGGACAGTCCCGGTTTTGAGCCTGTGTCCCCTGTCCCAGCAGATTTGTCCCAGATTTAGGCTACGTTTACATGATGACAGTCTGAACAGAAGACACAAAAGTGGCGTCGCGTCTTCACTTTTTATTCCGCGTTTAGACGAGCGTTTTCGGGAGGAAATCTGCGTGCATACAGTGACGCAAAAGTGTGAGGAATTGGATTGTGATTTTTAATCTGGCCCACTTGAATAAATTATAATAGTAAAAGTTGTAATGCTTTGAAATGATTTTCCATTGTAATTCAAGCACATGTTTTCTACATATCCCATGTTATTTTTTTCGCTTATGAGGTGGATTGCCAAAACACACTATCCATCTGCTCCTGGTCCGGCCCGTCCATCAAACTTTAGAGCCCTTTGTGGCCCACGAGTCAAAAAGTTTGCCCACCCCTGACGTACGACGTGAGCAGATCTGACCAGAGTTTTGCGTCTTGGGCAGTGTAGACGGAAACACTACGGTGGAGTGTATTCAACTTTTCCACTCTGGAGGGTGGTTTCAGATTTTGTGTTTTTAAGCAAAACGAAAGACACTTTTTTTTCAGATTTTGTCGTTTTTACCCGCGAGTGTTCTCATGTACGTTTATACAAGAAATGTCCCAGGTGTCTCTATTTTTGATCAATCTAATCCAACAGTAAAGAGAGACATAAACTGTCATTTGTTTTGATAAAATACAGAAAAGCTGCTTAAAATCGACCAAAACACAAAGAAAACGTGACTATACCGATGTTATTGCAGAACAGTTTTAGTTAATTACGCACTCGTTTCACAGCTTTATTATTACCAACCACCACAAACCAAGAGCGTCTCAGTTTTCTATTTTGAAAATCTGGTCACCCTAGACTTGTGAGTGTTATGTTATTTCAGGGACTCGTTTAGCAGCATAAATCAGATCACCTGCTGGACTTCGGCTAAGTCAGTTTTTTCCGCTCGATTAACATTAAATAAAGGTTAGATTAAAGTCTGACAGAGCCCCAGACAGAGCAGTGCCTACAGTTATGATCACAACCACAGGGAGTGTTGATGACTTCAGCTCTAAACTATTAACAGAGATAAAGTTAAAGCTGAACACTGCAGACTAATGAATGTGTAATGAATGAAATGAATGATAAGTTGTTATGGAACCAGTATTTTCAGAAAGCAATGCGCAAAAAATATGTTACGGTATGAAAATGCAATGAATCAAACTAAAATTATTTGTTTATTTCCTGGTAAATGATAAATAGTCACATTTTTATACAGCGCTTTTCCATCTTCAAGACTCAAAACACTTTAAAATAAGGAACAACACCAGGACACTCACTAATCACTGTACACACAATTCATTTCAGACAGTTCATTTAAAGTTAAAAATCAAAAGTTAAACCGTCGTCTCGTGTGTTTTCTGTTGTTCCCTTCAGCCTGAGAACATCATGCTGTTGGACCGGAACATTTCTCTACCTCGGATTAAAATCATCGACTTTGGTCTGGCGCACAGAATCACACCAGGGGCCGAGTTTAAAAACATCTTTGGGACACCGGAGTTTGTGGGTAAGAGAATTATCATTGTGGTTTAAAAATGTAGCCTTAAACTCTTTAAATAATGTTTTGTATTTATAACTTTTCTGGTGAAGATTCAGTCACCTGGCTGCCTCCATATTTTGCTTGGAATGTTCCACAATGTGGCGTTAAACTGCTAACATTCATTTAAAAGTGTTTTTTTCTGAAAACGATGGGAAAACACAGAGCGTCATGACGACTATTTAAATCTGACTGGACAAAGCGTCTCAACAGCAGAACAAGACCAAAAATCAAACTTGAATTAAATCCAGCTGAGAAAAGCTCAGACATCTCCCTGTCCTCAAATGCACAAAGATCTTTCCTCTACAGGTTTTTCACAAATGAAATAATCTGTAATGACGCTAAAATAGGCTGAAGAATGCGAACCTCAATGCTGCGACGTGATTGGTCCACAAACCAATCACTGCAATGATGGTGCGTTTGATTATCTGTCTGTCTCCCACTTTGATCTCGGATATGACATCATGTCCACACCAAGTGTTTTATTATGTTTCACGTGTCCGACTTGGAGAAAAACATGGACGCCAACAAGAAAGCTGTTGTTATTGTTGTTTATGTTCTGTTAGTGACGTTAAACTCTCAGGACGTTTAGCAACACCTGTTTAAAACAAGACTGTATTAAACACTGACCTCCACAACACCAACAACTGCAACACCGATCACTACAACACTGACCTAGGTAGTATTACAGATGCAGTAAAGTACTGCAGTAATACAGATGCAGTAAGGTATTGCAGTAATACGAATAACCACCAAAGCTCCAAACACAATGAAAACATTTCATACAAGTGACACTGCTGCCGTCTTGGATTCTATTTTGGAATCTTTGCTCAGTTTCCTGAGTTTTTCCGAGTTCTGCATTCCGTTGTCCGAGGAAAAGCAGCATGTCAGTGCGTGTTGCTAGGCAACGTCCTTAGACCTCCGAGTCGGGTGGATAATCGAAAGTACCTTTACCCTTACAGCAGGAGTCTTCAAGATGGATTCTCATGAGTTTGTGAACTCACAAATATCTTGAGAATCCATCTTGCTGTGGAAGGTTCTGGGGCTTATCTCCACAGACAAAGTTAAATGCCACATGGTGGAAAATGCAAAGTAATAACATCTCCATGGAGACAAGCAGGTGACTGACCCTCCACCAGAAAAGTTCCACAGTGCACCTTTAAGTAGAAACCTTCCTCACTGCTCCACCTCTGTGTTGTTGTGTGCAGCTCCAGAGATCGTGAACTACGAGCAGCTGGGCCTGGCAGCCGACATGTGGTGAGTCATGTGACCTGGGGCTGAGTCATGTGACCTGGGACATAACTCTGGATTAACTGGTGTTGTTTTTCACAGGAGCATCGGAGTCATCACATACATCCTGTGAGTGAAGCGACGCAAATGAGTCTAATGTAAAGGAATGTTGTTTTAAGTTTAAAGCCGCTGTCTCAGTATAATCACGATTTACTGCCTTAAAGGTCCAACATTTACACAAAACTGACATTTGTGAACTTTAAATCATGTTATAATGTTGTTACCGCCTCAAAAACAGACCTGGAGTTGTGTTTTGTTTGATTCACACGTTTGAGTAAATCTTTATTATTAGTTTGTTTACATCTCCAAAGCTCAAAACGCTCTGTTCCACCTTGTGATGTCATGAACCCACTATCATTTACCTTTAGTTCAGTAGAGATTAAAAATTCCAGAGCTGAAATGATCCAAATGACTCTAGTGAAGGTGTGTGGAGTTTAAATTAGTTATTTTTAAATTAATCATTGGATTTCTATAGGCGAGTTTCATTGTTGACAAAAGTGCGCGTTGCATGCTGGGAATTATTTTGGTCGGCGGCAAGAAACACTAATTCAACATGACGGACGGAGCGAGAAAGCACGTAAAGGGTATTGATCCCGGTTATTTATCCACTCTAACGGCAGAGGACCCAAGACCATGTGACCAGAAATTGGTCATAAACATCGACGGACGACAAATCACCCTTTTCAACCCCGACAAAAGGTGGAACAAACCAAATTTCTGGTCAGAATCTCCAACTACCTGGACAAATATTCACTTGGGCGACATCCACAATGACTTGGTGGAAACTCCTGGGCCATTCACAGCAGAAAAGATGAAAACCTCCAAGAGTCTCGATGTGTTGTTGAACTTGTTGGAGTCCATGGTTTGTTAGGATCTTCTACGTTTGCTCTGCGGATGTTTGAAAGTCGTTTAATTCACCGTTAGTGGTTCTTTTCACTCAGAATACGAAAAAGACATTTTCCTTCTTCTGTGCTTCTATTTGTGCATCCGATAATGCAGCAGGAATTTACCATTATCGGGGATAAATACGCGAGGTTACGCACTGTGTTTGACGCTACCGTGTTTCTTGCCTCTGACCAAAATATTTCCCAGCAGCAACGCGGGCTTTTAATAACAATGACGTCAGCTGAAACTCGCCTATAGTTCCTTTCAAATCAATTCATTCACTCAACACTCAGTGGTGTTAAGTTACTGCTAGAGCCACAGCTGCCCCGGGACACTCGCGCACACAACACTTTCATACTAAAAACACAGTGGAGTACTTCCGGTTTATGTTAAATATGTGTGAATGAAACAAAACACAACTCCAGGTCTGTTTGTGATGAGGAAACGACATTAGGACATTACGGAAGCCGAGAAGGGTCATAACACCGCAACAAATACAAATGCGACAACACAAACACAAATGCTGCAACACATGAAAAAGCCACAACACATCAAAAAGCCACAACGGAAGTGACACTGGGACTCTATTTTCCGATGGACCGATCAAGCGGCAAGTGAAGAAGAAGAACTACAACGTGAAACGAATAATGATAAAATAATAAATTACTTTTATTTACGTTTCCAGCTTGTCCGTTCCTTTACTTTTCACGTTGTAGTTCTTCTTCTTGGCTTTTTGATGTGTTGTGGCTTTTTAATGTGTTGTGGCTTTTTAATGTGTTGTGGCTTTTTAATGTGTTGCTGCATTTGCGTTTGTGTTGTGGCATTTGTATTTGTTGCGCCATTTGCATTAAACTAGAGTCCCGCGGTCATTTCCGTTGTGGCTTTTTTTGGTGTGTTGTGGCTTTTTGTTGTGTTGTCGCATTTGTATTTCTTGCGGCGTTGACATTTGTCGTGACCCCTCTCGGCTTCCGTAGGACATAGATCAGAAAACAGCATGTTTTCAGTAAATGTTGAATCTGATGGAGTGTGATGTTTCAGTTTGAGCGGAGCGTCGCCGTTTCTCGGGGAGAGCAAACAGGAAACACTGGGGAACATCTCAGCCGTTAATTATGACTTTGACGAAGAACTGTTCAGTAACACGAGCGAACTGGCCAAGAGCTTCATCCGCCAGCTGCTGGAGAAGGACCAGAGGTACGTCACCGACACACGACCAGAGACACAAACAAACAATCACTATAAATGAAGAAAGACTGTAAAGAATCAATGATAAAGAATGTGACGTATTTTTAAGCAGAACATTTTAGATTTAGCCTCTATTTACCAGAAGACATTTGGAAACATACAGATGACGACTTCCGGTGTAGTTCCCGACACTGGGCCTGTGATAAAACCGTGGATTCAGCAGCAGCGTCTTCACAACCTGCTAAAACTTTCCATGGGGAACAGGACTCTAATCGTGTTTTTGAAGTCACTCACAGGCAACTGGTTGGAACTGCTGATCTGCCGAACATAACGGAACACTACAACACTACAACTAGTGCTGTCAAGCGATTAAAATTTTTTAGAGATTAAGTCATTATGATCTGTAATGAATTAATCTAATGAATCTCTTTTTTTAATCTCACCTAAAAATTGCTGAGAAAAGCCTTCAACTTGAGGTATTTTTATTTAAATTCATTATTACATTATTTTCATACTATCATTAACGTTTTTATATAAGTATCATTATTATTAGGCAAGGCAAGGCAAGGCAAGTTTATTTGTACAGCACAATTCGTACACAAAGTAATTCAAAGTGCTTTACAGAATAAGAAATACATTAAAATCATAATAAAAACAAATCAAAACATAAATAATCATGAAGATTAAAATTTTAAAAAAGAGAGACATAAATTGGAGAGAAGAGTGCGGAATGAAAACCTTTCAGTTATTTGCACAGTTAAACAGAAATGTTTTGAGTCTGGATTTAAACAGCGTCACAGAAGAGTCTGTCTCACATGTTCAGACTGTTCCAGGTTTTAGCTGCATGAACCTGAAACGCTGACTCCCCTTATTACTATTACTAATCTGCATAGATAAACTTTACAACATATAAACCGTAACCACTCTAGAGCCACATCAGCCCGTTTGACATTATAATGTGTTTAATGCAACTTTGCGCAACTCTCACAGAAACTAAACTTAAAACCGTACGGCTAATTTGCATAAAAAGCAGAGAAAAGAAAAAAAAAACGCTCTTGTGCGCTGATGCGGTTCAGCTTCTACTAAAGGACACGACTCAGTGGAATATAGATGTTGATGGTGAAGGTGAGTCTGTTCTGTGTTTGTGTCGTGATGTTTTCAGAGATCAGACGTGTGCAGGTTTATCGCAGATGCGGCGAGAACGGGAATGAAAATCAGGCTACGGTTCTTTGCGGGAGCGAGCGGAGCAGGACTGCACAGTGCGGGACTGTGTCCTAACAACACATAAAAACAAATTTTATAATAAGGCAACTCACATACAGAAACAGTAAATTAGAGATTAAAAATAAGATTAACGCGATTAAAAAACATAACACGCTAAATATGACTGTAATTAATTAATCACAATTAACGCGATAATTTAACACTAACTACTAACAACATATATTTTAAATTATGTTAGACAAATTATAATATCAAAAGAAACAGAAAACGCACACCAAAATTCTTGTAGAGGTGAAAATGCAAGGAGCAGCCAGACAAAAGTGAAAAAAATAAAAATGCCGAGGGCCGATGTCCTAAAGCTTATTTATTTCCAAAATAAGGTTTCGGCCAAAAAGCCTTCATCAGATATTTTTTTCTAGTGGTGCTGTGGTTCAAAGCCCTGTGTCCTTTCTTTTTGGGTTCCCAGAAGGCGCAGTACCTGGAGCGGCCACTAGTCTGCACAGAGGGGGAGGGGCTTATCCAGTTTTTATTACAGGTCCAGGCTCCAGATCCACTCGTCTTTGTAAAGTTTTGTCGTAGCGTGTGGTTCTGGCTGGACGGTTAATCTTGAAATCATTTCTTTGTTTTTGTCTTTTAGAAAACGGATGACAATAGGAGAAACCCTGAACCACCCCTGGATAAAGGTAGGTCTGACCTGTTCACACAAAGCACGTTCTGTTGGCGTTTCACAACACTCTGCTCTGTGTTTGACAACGACATTAACAAATTCTACACAATTAGCAACTGTGGAAACTAAATTTGACAAAAAAACAAAAACAAAAAAACATCAAAATATTAAAGGGCCCATATTACGCTACTTTCTGATCATAAACAGACCTGGAGTTGTGTTTTGTTTCATTCGCACATTTTAAATTAACACACAAACCCTGCATTAAAAAACACTCTGCTCCACCTTGTGATGTCATGCAGTGATACAGCAAGTGCTCCACTGTGTTTTTTAACTCCACACGCCTCCACTAGAATCATTCAGATCATTTCAGCCACTGGAATTGCTGATCTCTACTGAGCTAAACGTAAAAGGAGCCACTAACTTGGAAACTGCCGCTTCATGACATCACAAGGTGGAACAGAGCGTTTTGAGCTTTGGAAATGTAGACAGACAAATAATAAAGTCTCGAACATGTGTGAATGAAACAAAACACAACTCCAAGTCTGTTTTTGAGGAGGAAACTACATTAGAACTTAGGCCCTGTCCACATTACGTCGTATTCGAGTTGTTTTCGTTGTGGACGCAGTGTTCGTTCACACTAATCCGATGGAAAATGGCTCCAGAGACGGAACGATCTGGTGCCTCCAACTCCCACGAATTCATGTTCGTACAGATCTGATCCGGCACCGTGTGGACGCCTGAAAACACTGATACTCTGATGTAGGTCTGTGCGCTGCCAAGTCATTCACCGACAAAACACTAAGAGGCTAAAATATCTGTCCATTCATATAAACATGTGTCTATGTATACTCACCATCAGCAGAACACCCCTCTGTCACAGAAAGAACACTCATATTCCACCGAGTCATGTCCTTTTTAAGTTCGACAGAACCTGATTGTTTATGACCTATAGGCACAAGGAGCGAGATGTTTTTTTTTAGTGTTTAGTTTATGCAAATGAGTCATGTGGTTTTAAGTTTCGTTTTTGTAAAATGTAAACAAATATGCGCAAAGCTGTGTGGATAGGGGAAGACTTTGATTGCAGACACAGAAACGACGTGTCTGGACGCAAATCGTTTTCCAATACTGTGATTTGTTTCAGTGTAAACGTAACCTTAAAGCTGCATTGTGTAAATTTTCTGGTAGAGGCTCCATCAAACGCTTTTTTTTCCTTGGAGATGTCCTTACTTGGTCTAGAATGTTTCACAGTATGGCATTAAACCTTTCTATCTTCATGGAGACCAAACCAGACCAAGTTACAGGTCAGATCTGCGGAGAGGCGACCCTGCTCACAGTCAGAATGTTGTTTTTCTAATTGTTTTTGAGCTTTAAAAATACCTGTAATTAAATAAAAGGGTTTGGTCAAGTGGTAACGGAGGGAAACAGGGTCAGATTTTTGACATTCAAATGTCTCTTATTCAGAAACTAGAGGAACTATTGAAATAAGTAAAGTATCAGAATGTAGGAAAGAGTTACACTCCAACAGGGTCAAGTTAAACCTGTGATATTCTTTCAAGTTGTTGACAAAAAATTTAAAAACTCATGTCGGTAACGGAGGGAATGAAATATGCAGCACTTTTTGGGCAATAAATCCAAACAGTGATAACTCTTGGTTCTCACTTACATATCCTTAACAAACTGGTTTGAATATTTGCTTCATATAGTTTTCTACCATATGGTACAAGATTAGGTTGAAAAACCTCTTACTTTTTGAGTCATGAGATTTTTTTATTAAGAAAGGTCATGGTAACGGAGGGAAAAGTAACGGAGGGAAAATTGTGCAAACAAGTAGAAGGTGCAGGATTTTACATCATTTGTCAGATTTTTTCTTCTGAATACTTTAATATTACTTCAAAATGAAAGGAAACTATTTCTATAAAATATGTCAGTCCTTCCAAGCAAATTTTTATCATTTTAAATACATTTTTTGGGAAAAATCATGTACCTTCATCAACAGTTCAAAGATGGAATAACACAAGATATGATGAAATACATCCATTTATTTACATGATTTTCAGGTCTTTGAAATTTGGAAAATAATTTTTGTTCCATGTTTCATACATGGTCTGTTTAAAACGTATGGAACTTTAGAACCAAAAATGGTACAGAAAAAAGGTCAACAGTTTCATAAACTAGAGTACATATGTAGTTCAATACATTTTTATATCAGATGAATTACTTGAATTTTTGGCCTTGTTGTTTATTTCTGCTTGACTGGACCCAGAGGCGAGTCACAGTCTGAATGTTTGTTTTACTAAGTATTTTTGAGCTCTTAAACCACCTGTAATTGAATAAATGTAAGATAGAGCTGATTAAAGTCACACTGTGGAACATTCCAGGCAGAGCAGTGACATCTCCATAGAAACAAGCAGCCAAAAAGTTACACAGTGCACCTTTAAAGCTCACAACAATCTATTTAGTGTCATATAGGACGTTACAAGCCCCCACGCAAACCTGTTATGTCTGTTAAATAAATAAATCTGTCAAACTGAAACCGTGACCTCGCCTCAAAGGAAATCATGATTACGATTTCGTCTCTCATCTCCCGCCCCTAATATCGGCCGAACACATGTCCTCGTGCGTGTAAAAATGTGCAATGCGTGTTCCCCGTGGAGCAGGGCGTGGTGTGGTGACAACAGCCAGACAAGCCAGAGCAAATATTCAGTTACAGGGCGTGAGTGAGTGAGAGCGGAGCCTGGTCAGACATGTACGCGAGCTTTGAGCAGATATAAAAAAAATAAAAAACGCTCCTTCACTTCGCTCCGTGGGGATTTATGCCGTTAAGACTCATATAACTTAGACAAACACGCACTTTTGTAGTCTGCGTTACAAACTAGACAATGCATCGCGTCATTGTTTAGATATTTAACTGAAATCCGGTCTTAAGTGGCTCTGCGTACGGTTTAGGATTTGGGGTTTTGTCTCGCTGAGCTCCGAAAAGAACACAGGTGTTATTTTAGTACAGTAGAATAAAAGGAAGTGAAGGATCAGCACAAAAGTGTAAAAAAAACAAACCAATATTTACGCCAAAAATGGATTCCAACAGACGTTTAAAGGTCCAATATTACACAAAATGGACTCTTGTGAGCTTTAAATCATGTTCTAATCAGTGTTGGGGAGTAACAGATTACATGTACCAGAGTTATGTAATCAGAGTACAAATGATGAGTAACTGTATTCAGTTACAGTTACTGTTTCAGTGAGTGGTAATTGGATTACAGTTACTTTGTTGAAATAAATGGATTACACGGCGGGATTTTACTGTTTTCACATTTTGGGCTAAATCCCTTTTTCTTTTCTTTTTTTTTTTCGGTAATTCCACTCATTGCCGGAAACTACACAAAGTCTAAACCAGGACTAAAACCAGGTCTAAACCTGTACTTAAACCAGGTACTACTAAACCAGGACTAAACCAGGTCTAAACCAGGTCTAAACCAGGACTAAAACCAGGTCTAAACCAGGTTTAAACTAGATCTAAACCAGGTCTAAACCAGGTCTAAACCAGGACTAAAACCAGGACTAAAACCAGGTCTAATCCAGGACTGAACCAGGTCCAAAACAGGTCTAAAACCAGGTCTAAACTAGGTCTAACCCAGGACTAAACCAGGACTAAAACAAGATTTAACAGGACTAAATTATGCTGTGTGGACGTGTCTCTTTTTTAATTTGGTTCAGTAAAGTCTGGACTTTTTTTTTCTTTTATCAGATAAAACTTCTTATGTTACAATTTCCTCGTCTTTGTTTCTCTACAGCAAATCAAGTAATTCAAAGTATTCAGATTACATTACTCACTTTAAGTAATTTAATGGATTCTGTTACAAACTACATTTTGGTGTATGTAATCTGTAATCTGTAGGGGATTACATTTTAAAAGTCACCTTCACAACACTGGTTATAATGTTGTTCATCAAAAACAGACCTGGAGTTGTGTTTTGTTTCATTCACACGTTTGAGTAACTTTTAATTTTTAGTCCGTCTACATCTCCAAAGCTCAAAACGCTCTGTTTCACCTTGTGATGTCATGTTGTTTGTGGTTGTTTTCAAGTGAACAGCTCCTTTTACTAGGGATGTAACAATAAATGAAATATCCTGATATCGTATCGTCAAAGTTCTCACAATAATATCGTGGATCATCACAATATATCGAATCACAAGTCTCTTTGCTTAAATGAAGAGTTAGAACTACATAGACCATGATCCTTTGCTCCATTTCAGTGCAGACGACAAGAAGAAATAACAGTTCTAACACTTTTAAGTCTTAGTTCTTTGGATTAAGTCTTATCGAAGCATTTTAAGAGGAAAAAGTCACATATTCACATTTTTTTAAGCCTCCACAAAATATCGGAATAAATATCATACCGTGAGATGTTTATCGTGAAAATATCATACCAAGAGATTTGGATATTGTTACATCTCTAATCGTGAGCCTCCCCTTTCCCACGATATCACAATAAATATCGTACCGTGAGATTCATACTGTGACGATATCGTATCGTGAGACTTGGATATCGTTACAGCCAAACCTTTTACCTTTAGTTCAGTAGAGATTGTTAATCTCCATTTGGTTTTGCAAAAGTTAAACATAAATTTTCGTTTTCAGCCGTACTATTGGGATGAGAATTATTAGGATAACGTCAAAATCTGGCAGTTTGTTTACCCGTATGTGTGTGTGTAATCTTTGTTACTAAGGTTATGTTTACACTGAAACGTATCACCGTATCGGAAACGATTTGCGTCCAGACACGTCGTTTCTGTGTCCGCAATCAAAGTCTTCCCTTTCCACACAGCTTTGAGCATATTTGTTTACGTTTTACAGAAATGAAACTTAAAACCACATGACTCATTTGCATAAACTATAATGCTCAAAAAAACAGCTGCTGATGCGGTTCAGTTTCTGTCGGACTAAAGGACACGACTCAGTGGAATATGAGTGTTGTTTCTGTGACAGAGGGGTGTTCTGCTGATGGTGAGTCTGTTCTGTGTTTCTGTCGTGTTGGAGATGGTTCATGTTAAACTTTTCAGAGATTAAACGTCTGCAGATCATACACATAGAACTATAGAACTGTACTTTGCCCTTTAACGCAAAACCGCCTGAAACTCTATTAAGTTATAGCAGCCGATTTTGAGCCGAGAAAGACGGCAAGCATAAAAACAGTCTTTTCGTGGACCGTGTACGAGCAAGTAGTTGTAGCTCCGCTGTTTCCCATTTGTCTCTGGTTTGTTTAAACAGTTTTCCACAATATCGTCACATGACCGATGTCACGAACCCAGTAAATCAGGAAGGCGCAAATCACAGTCACGTCAGAGTATCAGCGTTTTCAGGCGTCCACACGGTCCTCGATCAGATCCGTACTAAAATTTTGCTTTAAACTGAATGAAGACGTCACAAAATTGAAGCATGTTTGTGTCTGGAGTGGAGTTTTGTGTCTCACGATCTCGCACTAACCTGAAGGAGATGGACCACGTGTGTTTGAGAACCTCTTCTGATCAGTGTCCTTCAACCTTTTATCCGAAGTCCCACCCGGTCCACCGCCCCACGCCTGAGAAGATCAAGCTCGACCAACCCACGGAAGACCTCCAGCTCACCCACCCCATCCCTGACTCCGCCCCTGACTCCGCCCGTGACCGCACCGACGCTCCAGACCTGGCCCGATTCTCGCAGCTGGTGGAGGAGCTGAGCGCGATCGGGTCCGGGTTGGCGGAGGTCGAAGAGGTCCACGATGTTCTGCACAGAGACCTCCAGGCTCTGCTCCGCGCCTGCAGCGACGGAGAGCGGCGAGCGACCGGCGGGGGGCAGGTTTCGGAGGCGTGGTCTGTGTTTGCCGGGGTGGAGGAGAAACGGAGGAAGGTCCGGGAGCGTGTGAGAGACGTGGGTGTGGTTCTGGAGCAGATCGAGATGAGCTTCAAGCAGAGACAGAGGAGAATGGACACGCTGAGGTTGGACTCCAAGCTCCTCCTCTCCTCCCTGTTGGCTGGAGAAGATTACGAGATCACAAAAGCCAAAGAGGAATAAAACGGCATCTTAATGTTTTTAAATCAGACCTATTCTGCAAAAGTTTTTATAGTTGTTTCCTTCTCTCATTGGATGTTTTTTTAATTCTGAATTAATTGTTCTGAATTAAATACTTCAGAATCTAAATATTTATTCTGAAGATGCCGTTTAGCTGATCAACCCCCGTTTTCAGATCCACCGTTACACGTAAACTGTGACGACGTCCGCACTTCCTCGTCCAGTTTGATGTTCTTCATGGGTGATACTCGTAGGATTGGGCAGCGTTTTGTCGTTGGTTTGGTCCAAATGTAAAAAGAAAACAAAAAAAAAAAAACGCTCCGCTCTAGTGTGATGGGCAGCGATCCACAGGAGAGGCCCACATCCTGGTTTAGACCTGGTTTAGTCCTAATTTAGTCCTGGTTTGGTCCTGGTTTACTCCTGATTTAGTCCTGATTTAGTTCTGTCCATAGGAGGGACCCACATCGTGGTTTAGTCCTGGTTTAGTCCTGGTTTGGTCCTGGTTCAGTCCTGGTTTAGTGCTGCTTTAGTCCTGGTTTAGTCCTTTTTTAGTCCTGGTTTAGTTCTGGTTTAGTCTTGGTTCAGTCCTGGTTTCGTCCTTTTATAGTCCTGGCTCAGTCCTGGTTTCATCCCGGTTTAGTCCTGGTTTAGTCCTAGTTTAGTCCTGGTTTAGCCCTGGTTTGGTTCTAATCATAGGAGGAGCCTACAGCCTGGTTTAGTCCTGGTTTAATCCTGGTTTGGTTCTATCCATAGGAGGGACCCATATCGTGGTTATTCCTGGTTTAGTCCTGGTTCAGTCCTGGTTTAGTCCTGTTTTAGTCCTGGTTTAGTCCTGGTTCAGTCCTCGTTCAGCTCCATTGAACACTAAAGTTTTCTAACCCCAAAGTCAACGCACTTGTTTCTTTTATGACGCCGTTTTAGATGAATTTTGTGATTTAAAATGTCCAAATTACAACAGAAAAATCCACGGGCGTCAGATTTTATAACTACAGAAAACACAAAAGCACTTTAGGTCTGATTTAAACTTTCCTTCATCCAAAACTCCTACGTGAAAGACGACACACAGACACCGAGAGAAAAGCAGGAGAAGTGTCTTGCCAAAGGACACGACGTATAAACTGTTGTACTGGGGTCTTACCTTCTGCCTAAAAGTTTTATTTATTACTTTATTGATTTAAGTGTATGTTTTATTTTCTCTTTATTGTTTGTTTTTATCATTATTTGTACTTTTATGAAAACACAAAGTTTTCTGAACCTGATTTTGGACTTAGCCAAGTAAATTTAATTTATTAAATCATAATTACATGATAAAAAATAAACTTTAAAACACATTTATTTAATAGTGAACCACTGTAATAGTTTGACAGAAATGCAAATAACAACAATGTACATGTAATTTGAGATTATCTGCATGTATTAGTGTTTAAATGTCTTTAATTTCAAATAATTTCTTACATTTATTTATTTATTATTTATTTATTGTTGCACTTTTCTTAAAGCCACGACCACAGTGTGTTTCTGTTTCTGTGATTTACCTGAAAAACACTTGAAACTCGAGCACTTGAAACTTTGATTTATTTATTGATTTATTTATTTGAAAAGTGTCTTACCTCTTTTTTTTTTTTTTTTTTTCTGTGTTCAATGTCGTGCTTGACAAAAATAAACAAAAATGTGCACTAAATATGACGTGTCTGACTTTTTAAGAATTCCACTTTGGTTACTTTCTATGTTGGCGTGCGAGGGCTGTTCGATGCCGCTTGCGGTTTTAATCATTCATAAGAGGCTTAATTTTTCTTCATTCTATCTAGACCCATCGATAAAAGTTAAGTTCTAATAAAGTTAAATAAAAGTAAAACCATAAAATCACAAAAAAAATTAAGTAAATGTAAAAATGTAAAATTAAAACCGCAAGTGGCATTGAACGGCCCTCACATACCAACATATAAAGTAACTAAAGTGGAATTCTTAAAAAGTCAGACACTTCATGTTTAGTGCACATTTTTGTTTATTTTTGTGAAACTCGAGCACTTGAAACTTGCATTTGATTTATTTATTGATTTATTCATTTGAAAAGTGTCTTACCTCTTTTTTTTTCACTGTGTTCAATGTCGTGTTTCACAAAAATAAACAAAAATGTGCACTAAATATGACGTGTCTGACTTTTTAAGAATTCCACTTTGGTTACGTTCTATGTTGGTGTTGTATGAGGGCCGTTCGATGCCGCTTGCGGTTTTAATTTTACATTTTTACATTTACTTCATTTTTTTTGTGATTTTATGGTTTTACTTTTATTTAACTTTATTAGAACTTAACTTTTATCAATGGGTCTAGATAGAATGAAGAAAAATTAAGCCTCTTATGACGTGATTAACAATTTAAAACGAAATATTATTTGTTTTCAAGTCCTCAAAATGGGACTCATGACTATTTTTACGCTTTTATACCCCTTTATAAACTTGTATAAACCTGTTTTTGTTTCTAAATGTGCTCTAACTCTGCCCCACAGCCTCTGAACCCTCGACAGGCCATGGTCAAGAGACTCTCTGTGGTCAACCTGGAGAACTTTAAGAGACAGTACGCCCGCCGCAGATGGAAGGTAACACAAAATAATCTAAAATAAAACAGTTTTCAATATGTTTTAAAGTTTATCTAAATGTATTAATGGTGATTGTCTCCTTCCAGCTGTCGTTCAGAATCGTAGCTCTGTGTAATCATTTAACACGCATCATGAAGAAAGGACCGAAGCTGATCGAGGACGAGGTGAGAACTCAGACAGAGATTTATTAAAACTCAAAAATGTGTCACGTGGAAACAGAGGGAGGACCCAAAATGCAGGACTGTATTTAATGACAAAACCAAAAAAAAATCCAAAACTCAAGAGTAAATTGCCATGACAAGAGACGAGAACACAGGGTATAAATGCACACACATGAATGAGACACAGATGAGACACATTAGGGCGGAGCAAACAATCAACAACAGAAAACAATCAGGAAATAAAACTCAGAACTACAAGCAGACAAAACAAATTTCAAAATAAAACACAAACTACAACCACAACAAAACCTGAACCATGACAAAATCATTTCCAGTCATGTCCAATTAAAACAGGTTTGGGCAATTATTTTTTCCACGAGGCCACATAAGAAACAGAAAATATTGTGGCGTTCAAAATGCTTAACTCAATTCTGCTTAATATTAATTGTATTTCTTTATAAAAAGCAGGCATGTCATTATTTTGACAAGCTGCTCAGACTTTTGAGAGTTTGTTATGACTAAACAATGAAAAAATGAAATTGCCGTACAAAAAATGTCATTTAAAAAACACCTCTAAAATAAAAACGATGCAGCTTTAGTTCAGGCATGAGGTAAAATGAAAAAATATGTTTATTTTGTGATTCCAAATGAGTTTAAATGGACCAGTCTGAGCCGTATGTGGCCCTGGAGCTGCACAATGTCCAAGTCTTGTTTAAAACTTTACAACGTCAATGTATAATTTTGTCACAGGCTTGTACAGGTGTCACACATTAAACAGCAGCAGTGTCCAAACTATGGCCCGCGGGCCCAATACGGTCTTCTCTCAGGCTGAAATGCTGATCTAGCCCCAAAAAATAGGCAAGGCAAGTTTATTTGTAGAGCAGAATTCGTACACAAAGTAATTCAAAGTGCTTTACAGAATAAGAAATACATTAAAATCACAATAAAAACAAATCAAAACATAAATAATTATAAAATAAAATGGATTCTAATGTCAGTACTTGTGACACACAAACACACGCTCAAATCACAACAGAAAATATGATTCTGTCCTGGAAAACAGTTTTTATGAGCGAGTGACGTTCGGCTGAGATAAATGATTTGAAAACAATATTTGCACAAAATTATCAAACTGTAAAACACGTGCAGTTGGTTTTTCCACAGCAGCAGAGCTCAAGAACAACAGTATTGAGACGCTGGAGGTGTTCTACATGTATGTGTATGGTGGAATGTTAAGCAGTTTGCCATGGTGACACAAGACACACATGATCAAACACTGACAAAAAATTTTTTTGGATTGTCTAAAAGTTATAACATAAAATAAAATAAAAATAAAATAATACAATAAAATTAAAATAATAATAATAATAATAATAATTGAACAATAAATAAATAAAATAAAACAATAAATAAAATAAAATAAATACATATATAAAATAATAATATAATAATAATAATTTAAATAAATAAATACAAATAAAAATAGATAAATAAATAAACAAACACAATAAAAATAAATAAATAAATAAATAATAAATAAATGAAATGGAATGAAATGAAATGAAATGGAATGAAATAAACTATGGATTTAAACAGCATTTTTTCAGGAGCCTGTGATCAGTCTGAGATTCATGGTTCTGTTTAGGAGATTGATTTTATTCCAGAGGGATTTGTTTACCTCTCGTAATTCAGAGTAGTTCAGATTAAAGTCTAACCCGAGTACCAGAGCTTCAGACAGAGCAGTGCCTACAGTTAACGTCACACCCCCAGAGAATGTGGCTCAGTTAAAGGAGGGCACAGTGTTCTCATGACCTCCTGAGATTCATTCGTTTGTGTCTTTTGTGGAGGACACTCAGTGAACCCGTCGATCTTTTAAGTCAATAGTTTCACTCAAACTCAAATTCACAGAGGCCAAAATTAAAAACTGGGACTAAGTCGTGACCCAAACTAAATATTTAATACATATTTATTTCTAGATATGTAATGATAAACCTTTTCTTATTAAAATAAATGTTTAATAATATTTTTTCTTAAACATTGAATCCAGAACAAGCAGAATATAAAATAATAACAAAATTTTAAATAAATAATGTCTCTTTGTGGCTGCACTGTGATTAAAAGAGACTTCATTAGAGAGGACATGTTACAAAATTATAAAAAAAAATAAAAAACCTAAATGCTAAATCTAATGTTAATTTACAACCAAATAGAAAATCGCAAAAAATATATATATTGAAATACAGTTTTAAAATTTTCTTCGAATCCCAGGAGGTTAAAATTAGAAATGTGAAAATCATGTTTGATATTTGACACAACACTGCATTTTTATTTTTATTCTTATTCTTATTTTTATTCTTATTCTTTTTTTTTTATTCTTATTTATATTTTTTAATTTTTATACTTATTTTTATTCTTATTTTTATTCTTACTTTTTTTATTCTTATTTTTATTCTTACTTTTATTATTTTTTTATACTTATTTTTTATACTTATTTTTATTCTTATTTTTATTCTTATTTATTTTTTTTTATTTTTTAGACTTATTTTTTATTTTTATTCTTATTTTTTATTTTTATTCTTATTTTTATTTTTATACTTATTTTTATTCTTATTCTTATTTTTTGTCTTATTTTTATTTTTATTCCTACTTTTAATTTTAATTTTTTTTATCCTTATTTTTATTCTTATTCTTATTTTTATTCTTATCTTTATTTAATTTTTTTTATTTTATACTTATTTTTAATTTTTTATACTTATTTTTATTCTTACTTTTATTTTTAAATTTTTATACTTATTTTTATTCTTA